GGGAGAGGGTGAGTTGCCTTCCTGCCCGGCGGGGCTCAAGGGGCTCTGCCTACCGGGACCCCTGGGCTGGCTGAGGCGCAGCTGCCCGCGGGCTGGAGCTGCCCCGTGCCTCTTAGCATGGGCCCCTTGCTCTCCCTTTCCCCTTCAGGAGCGTGGAGGTGGGGTAGGTGTGTAACCCACAGGAAGGAGACATGGAGAGAGCGACCGAGATGCGTGTGAACCACAACGAGGAAGACGAGATGGTCAGTGGGCCGCGGCGTCTCCTTTCTGGACTTATCCGCCAGCGGCATGAGATCTGGCCCTCTGGGCCACAGCTGGCAGCCCCGAATACACGCGGGAACTCACAGGAAGGGGCCTCACTCTGAATCAGCCCCCCCCCCTCGCCGGGTCCGTCAGAGTCAGTCTTGTCCACTCTCCAGGGTCTCGGGCTGAGGTCTTTCCCAGCACATCTACCACCTGGCACTTTCAACTGGAGATGCCGCCGGGGATTGAACCTGGGACCTTCTGCATGCCAAGCAGAGGCTCTACCACTGAGCCACGGCCCCTCTTTACAGCTCTCCAGGGTCTCAGGGGGAGGTCTTTCCCATCACTTCCTGCCTGGTCCTTTTCAACTGGAGATGCCGCCGGGGATTGAACCTGGGACCTTCTGCATGCCAAGCAGAGGCTCTACTGCTGAGCCACGGCCCCTCCCATGAATGAAGTGCCGCAGAACTGCTGCCGCCCCCTGGTTCCAGCTCCACCGTGTCCCCCACCTGGCTTGGCAGCCTCCTTCCACCCCCTGAGAGGGAAAGTCTGGTTTGAACCAGCCATTCACCTCCTTGGTGACCAGCAGCGCAGAAGGCCGGCTCCGCGTGACATGACCCCCCCTCTTTCCCATCACGCTTTGGGCACACCCTGCAGTGGCGGTTCGGGGAGAGGGCCTGCCACGCTTGGGCTCGCTGTCCGGAAGGCAGGAAGGGACCTGCTGCTCTGCGGAACTCCTTCCTAGAGAGGACTGAGGGCCTTCGGGGTTGGTCAGGGTTGAGGGGTCGCTGGGGAGGGGCCATGGCCCAGGGGCAAAGCCTCTGCTGGGCATGCAGACGGTCCCAGGTTCAGTCCCTGGCATCATCTCCAGTTAAAAAGGACCAGGCAGGAGGTGATGGGAAAGACCTTTCTCTGCCGGAGACCCCCTGGACAGCCGCTGCCCGTCTGAGTAGTGGACCAGACTGGCCTGGACGGACCAAAGGTCTGATGCACCAGAGGAGGCAGCTTCGGGTGTCCCATGTGGCTCTTCCTGGGCGCCTGGGGCCATCGGCGTTCCCGCTGGCTGGCATGGCCTTGGAGTGCTTTCCAGGGGGCCTTTGGTGCCTCGGTCCCTGCTCTTCCCAGGCACTCCGCAACATTCTGGCCTCTGCTGGGGGTGGGCGGGCACCTCCTCCTTTCCACTGCTGCGCCTGACACCCCCTGCGTCCTTTACCCAGGAAATCTCCGGCTACAGCCCCTGCTGCTGGAAACTGGCGCTGGTCTCGCTGGGCACGGTCTGCAGCGGAGGCTTCCTCCTCCTCTTCCTCTACTGGCTGCCGGAGCTGAGCGTCAAGTGGACCTGTCAGGCTGTGCCGCTGCAGGAGGCCCGGGTCGTGCTGCTGCGGACCACGGTAGGGACCCCACGGACACTTTAAAGCGAGCAGGCCCCTTCGGGTGGCCCCGCAGGGGGTGGCCTTTGCTGTCGCTCACACCCCCCCCTTTGCCGCTGCCTTCCCCGCCTGCAGGACGAGTTCCGGACGTGGTCCCGGGTCCGGGTGCGCTCTCTCTTTGCTCCCGGATGCCAGCCCTTGGGCTTCCCGCAGCTGTCGGAGAGCAAGAGGCCCCTGTGCCAGGCCAGCCAGCTGGAGGACTGGGAGGGCCAGGAGGAGCTTCTTTGCCAGCCTGCCCGTGGGGAGCAGGCCGAGGTGAGCGGCCGGGGGGCGGGGCCTGGAGAGGGAGGGGCTGTGGCTCAGCGGTGGGGTCTCTCCTGGGCATGCAGAAGGTCCCAGGTCCAGTCCCCGGCAGCACCTCCAGTTCACGGATCTGGCAGGAGGCAAGATGGGGGGGCCTTTCTAGGCTCGAGGCCCTGGAGAGCTGCTGCGGGTCAGAGTGGACAGCAGTGACCTTGACGGTTCGGCAGGAGGCCGCTCCAGGTGTGTGCGCGTGCATGTGTGTGCCCCAGAGTGCCCGGGCGTGTGCTGTGGAGGTGCTCACGAAGAACACTCCTTCCCTCCAGATCCGCTTCTTTGTCCACCACCACGTGCGCTACCTCTGGAGTGCCGAGTCCCAGTCTTTCCGGCGTCTCACGGCCCTGGATCTCGGGCTGCCTTGTGCCTCCCTGCACGCCCTCCACGGCACCGGCCTCCCTCGCAGCACCCAGGACTACAGGTCAGTGCCGGGAGGTGGGCGGGGTCCGCAAGGAGGGGAGCCTCCGGGCCAAGAGGGCCGAGGAGGGGAGGGGATGCCGGACTGGCAGCCTGTCTCTCCAGTGGCCGGGGACATGGGTGGGGGGCAGGATGGCTCTGCCGCTGTCCCCGGTGGCACCTCCGGCTCCAGGAGGGACCCTCGGCTCCAGTTGTCGGGAAAGACCTTTCTCTGCCTGAGACCCTGGAGTGCCCCAGCCAGCCAGCCAGGCAGCCAGCAGGGGCTGGACAGCCATGGGAGCACAGTGTGCTGGCTCTGTGGAGAGCCACTTCCTGTGGACAGGAGTCCCATGGCTGGGTGGGCACAGGGGGGACAACGCGTCCTCCGGGCAGCCCTCCTTCTTCTGCTGCTGAGCACCCTTCAGTTCGAGAGCCAGTCGGGTGTGGTGGTGAATTGCGCAGAGGACTCTAATCTGGGAGAACTGGGTTGGATTCCCCACTCCTCCACTTGCACCTGGCTGGATGACCTTGGGCAAGCCAAAGTTCTGTCCAGGACTTTTTTGGTAGAAAAAGCCCAGCAAGAACACATTAGCATAATAGACCACACCCAACAGCAGATACTCATTAGCATATTAGGCCACACCCCATGCCTTCCCTTGGGGAGCCCGGGCAAGCCGGCCCTTGGACAGGCCGGGGAAGGCATGGGGAGGCATTTAAATGCCTCCCCGATCCTTCCAAGGCCCCCCTGGCCCGGCCGCCTTGGAGTCACCGGGGTGTGTGTGTGTCACTCTCCAGGCCTTCCCTTTGTATCCACGCACGCAGAGGTTTTGGCTGTAGTGGGCGTGGCCAACTCTGAAGCCAGCCGGAACTCCGTTCCTGCCCCAAAATAGCCCTGGTTCTGTCAGAGCTGTCCTTGAAAAAGAGCAGTTTCTGTCAAGAACTCTCTCAGCCCCGCCTACCTCACAGGGTGTCTGTGGTGGGGAGGGGAAGGGAAAGGCGTTTGAAAGCTGCTCTGAGACTCCGTTGGGTAGTGAAGGGCGGGGGATACATCCAATCTCTTCTCTTCTTCTTCTCTCCGCAGGAGGCTTTTTTATGGAGCCAACCAAATTGACGTGAAAGTGCCTTCCATCCCCAAACTCCTCGTCAAGGAAGTAAGTGGGCCGGGGGTTGGGGGGGGCGGAGGTTGGCTGCTGCCCTCCTTGGGCCGTCCCCCAGGAGTCTTAACTCCCCAAACGGGCCTCTCCTCCCTGCAGGTGCTGAACCCCTTCTACATTTTCCAAGCCTTCAGCATGGTGCTGTGGTCCCTCGACGATTACTACTTGTACGCCTCGGCCATCCTCTTCATGTCTCTCGTGTCCATTAGCTGCTCCCTCTACACCCTCCGTAAGGTACGGGGGGAGGGGCAGCCCAAGGGGGAAGGGGCGGTCCGGAGTGGGCTCTGGGGTCTCTCGTGCCAGGAAGGAAGGCGGCCAGTGTCCCCGTTTCCTTCATCCTGCAGCAATACGTCCTCCTGCACGACATGGTTGCGACGCACAACATCATCCGCGTGACGGTGTATCGGGGGCCCCATGGTGAGTGAGCACGAGGGGGACGGGGGGTGTCTGGGGCTTGGGCCTGCTTTCAGGAGGCACAGAGAGGAGGAGTGGGAACAGGCCCGGCCGTCAGTGGGAGCTGCTCTGCGGACCCCCATTTGCTCTGAAACGCCAAAAAATGTTTTGCTGCTCTAAAATGGGGAGGGGACCCCAACATTAAAAAACAGCCCCTGTGCCTGGAGTCTGCAGCCAGGGCCCTACTCAGGCCGGGCCGTGATGCTGAGCTCGGACCAGCTGTGTCCGGCCTCGATTTGTGGTGTCCTTGGAAACGGGAGAGCCGCCGGGGCATCATGGTTAGAGTGTCTGAAGAGGCGTGTGGAAGCCCGGGTTTGAATCCACACTCTACCATGATCCTCTAATCTGGGAGAACCGGGTTTGATTCCCCACTCCTCCTCCTCCACTCGCACCTGTCTGGATGACCTTGGGCAACCTGTAGTTCTGATAAGAGCGGTCCTTGAAAAAGAGCCGTTTCTGTCAGAGCTCTCTCAGCCCCACCTAACTCACAGGGTGCCTATCTGTTGTGGGGAAGGGAAAAGGAGTTTGTGAGCCGCTCTGAGACTCCTTTGGGTAGTGAATGGCCATGGGGTATAAATCCAATCTCCTCCTCTTCTCCTTCTCTTGCTGGGTGCTTTGAGGCGGGGCCCTCTCTCAGCGTTGTCTGCCTCACGGGGAGATGGTTTCAGAGGGCAACCATGTTGGTCTACGGCAGAACAGCTCGGGACGGGGTGGCAGAGAAAACCAATAAACAAACAAAGCCACGTCTTTCAGATGCCGCTGGATTTGAATCTAGCCGTTCCGCCTCGCAGGGTTATTGTGAGGATGAAACGCGGGGGGGGGGCAGCTCTAAGGTGATGAAAATAGAACAGGAGTGACCGGAGGCCGTGTCGGAAGCGAAGGCGTTCCTCGCACAGACCCATTTTGGCCCCGACTTACAGCCAGGCCCCCCCAGCCAGCTGCAGCCCCAGGAGGTGTTACGGACCCTGGCCGGGGGCTCCTGAGGTGCCCAGAAGTTCCCAAAGGACCGAGACGAGAGATCTGGGCCTACATGCGAGGAGAGCTTTAGGGACCTATCAAACCTGAGCCGGCCTTGGCTGGGAGGGCGGGGTAGAGATTCAATAAATAAATGGATAAGTAAATAAATAAATGCATCAGGGCGGTTGGAGGGGCTGAGCTCAAGTCCGCTGGCCTCGAGACGCCCACGCCCAGCGGAGTTTGGCCAACCCTCAAGACGGAGAGCGTAATGTGAACCAGGCACCTGATCCCCTGAATTCTGGCTGCAAGCCCAAAGAGTGGTTAATTAAGCTATTCCAAACCCTTGGAGGAGGCAGGCCATCCTGCCCCCAGCTTCAGGGCCGGGCGGGGGGGACGGGGACAACCCAGGCCCTGAAGAGAGAAGGCTCTGCCTACAAGCGGGAGAGAGGCAGGAAGTTCCCCCGAGAGCAGCTCATGCCGTCCTCTCCCAAGAGACTCTGGGCAGCTAGCCAAGATGGAGTCACCCCGGCCAACACAGGAGGGGACCCGGAGTCTCAGGGGGAATAGGGGCCCCTGCAAAACGCGTGAGGCTGCAGGCAGCATGATACCGATCCCTCTCTTCCCTTCCTCTGCAGAGACGGAGGAGATCTTCTCCACAGAGCTGGTGCCGGGGGACGTGCTGCTGGTGCCTCCGGGAGGGCTGATGCTGCCGTGCGACGCGGTGCTCCTGAACGGCACGGCCATCGTCAATGAGAGCATGCTCACCGGTACGGGCGGGGCTGAGGGGCGCACGGGCGGGAACAGAGGGCGGCAGTCCTTTGGAGCTGAGCTCTTCCTTGCCCGCAGGCGAGAGCGTCCCCGTCACCAAGACGGCTCTGCCCAGCCCAGCCCAGGGCGCCAACGGGCTGCTCCGGGATCCGGTGTACAGTCCAGAAGAGCACAAGCGGCACACACTCTTTTGTGGCACCTGCGTCATCCAGACGCGGTACTATTCCGGGGAAGCGGTGCGGGCGCTGGTCATCCGGACAGGTAACGGCAGCCCCGGCATCCAGCGGGTGGTGGGCGCCTGGGCATCCAGCGGGTGGTGGGCGCCTGGGCTCTCCAGGGGGAGGTGCCCACTGGGGCTTCTTCTCTCCTCCTCCAGGTTTCGCCACTTCCAAGGGGCAGCTGGTTTGCTCTATCCTGTTTCCAAAGCCCACCGACTTCCGCCTGTACAGGGACGCCTGCAGGTTCCTCCTCTGTCTGGTGGGAGTGGCTGGGATTGGTGAGTGTTCCGGAGTGGGCTGGCTCGGAAGCCCGAACGGGCTTTCCGTCGTATTGGGGGAGCGTGGTGTTGGGGAAATTGGCAAAAATACTTAGAGATTCAGAGTTTGCAATGGATCTTTGCTTCACTGGAGAGGAGGCATTTCTTCCTCTGTAAATATCTTTCTAAGGGAAGGGTACACAGGAAAATCTACAAAATAGCAAAGACCTAAGGCTACATCTCTACAGCTACAGAACAGACCGACCACACGGTCTCACAACAACTGCAAGGGCGATAATGCAGATTCTTCTTCTTCTTGACCCCTAGAGGGAAATCACCTGAATGCATTAACCAGTGATTGTTAGTAAATAGGCTTCGGTTTCCTGGGCTCTATTCCCATTGGCTCTGAGCCAGGTTTCCCTTCCAGGTCAGTCTAAACAATAGCACACACAGGTTAACCCTATAATGACTGAATTAGACCTTGCAACACACACATATTTCCAACACGTGGCAGGCAGGTGAGGGCCAGGTGTGTGAGTCCATCTAATCCCAGAGATCCTTTCTTGCTCCCTCCCCCCCATCCAGGAGCGCCCAGGCCGCATCATACTGGAATCCCTTGACATTTTAACCATCACTGTCCCACCGGCGTTGCCGGCAGCCATGACGGCCGGGGTGGTGTATGCCCAGCGGCGCCTGCGCGGGAAGCAGATCTTCTCTATCAGCCCTCAGCGCATCAACATTTGTGGCCAGCTGAACTTGATGTGCTTCGATAAGGTATCCGCTCTCCTCTGTCCCTCCAGCCACCCCCCTCCCGCCTCGCAATCAGACACTTTAAAGAGAGACCTGTCTCGTATGTGTGTGTGTGTGAACGCGCTCTGCTTTGCCTTTTGCAGACGGGGACCCTGACCGAGGATGGGCTGGACCTCTGGGGTTTTGTACAAGCACAGAACGGCAGGTGAGTGGGGCTCTGCCATCCCCTTTCTTTCCCACGGGCCAGGGAGGAGGGGGGCATCTCCGCCAGCTAGGAGATCCCTTTGCCATTTGTGTAGTTGTGCCAAACAATAGGGACCCCAAGCGTATGTAGTATGCAAAAATAGAAACCGCAAGGGCAGACAGAAGATACACAACTTTCACAAGTAAACAGTAGACATCAGTCCATTGCAAGATAATAACACTACATTGAAGATACAATAGAATTGGTGGTCACAATTCAAAAACAGTATTTGCAAATTCAGAATACAATTTGCTGATATTTGAAAATATCCAGCAAGAGACTCCTCTATATCCTTTGAATGTAATCGTGTCCAAAAGACCTCAAAGTCCACCAAAAAGGCAGAGGATGTCCCAAAGCACAAATAAACGTCTAACAGCCGAAAACGTCCTTCCCAGTTATGCCCGTCATTTCAAAACAATCATCTTCAGTTGTACGGCTGAAAATGAAATAACAATATAACAAAAAAACACAATGCAATATGAAAAGCCAAAGAGAGATTCAGAATGTATATATTCCAGTGCACCTATATTAAAGCCACCTCATATAGTAACATTTTACACTCACCCCAGTTTCCACAGTAATGTTGGCACAGCTCATTTCTCAAACGGAATCTGTGGTTCTCAAAAATTACAAACCTCCTGCTGTTAATAAAACTTCAATTTATTGTTATTATATTGCAATAGACTGATGTCTTTTGTTTGCTTGTGAAAGTTGTGTATCTTTTGATGGTCTACCCTTGCGGTTTATATTTGTGTAGTTGTAGCAGAATTGCATTGTGTGCTTATGGTGTTTCCTCAAGTAAGTGTCTCCCTCCTCGGATGAGGGCGTCTCCTGAGGAACGTGTTCTTTGTTGGGGACTCACTGCATGTTGAGATAGATCAAGATGGGTGGCCGCATTAGTCTGTCTGAGACTAACAAAATATGTGGCCGGGACTAACAAAATACGTGTGTGTGTGTGTTGACCTGAGATATCTGAAGAAGTGAGCCAGTGACTCACAAAAGCTCCTCCCCTGCCACATATTTTGTTAGTCTTTAAGGCGCTCCTGGACTCTTGCTCTTTTCTACCCCATGTTGAGAGACATCCCCACAAATACTAGTGCTGGTACCGAATCATTCAACGGAGCAGAGCCGTGAGGCTTGGGGACCCTCAACAGCACGAATGCACAGCAGATCCGAGGGAAAGGAGGGGCCATGGCACAAGGCAGAGCATCTGCCTGACACGCAGAAGGTCCCAGGTTCGATCCCCGGCATCTCCAGCTAAAAGGATCAAGTAGCAGGGGATGTGAAAGACCTCCCTCTGCCACTGGCCGTCTGAGCAAACGGTGCTGACCTTGGTCCATGGGTCTGATTCACCGTCAGGCAGCTCCATGTGACATGGTGCTCCTTGCATGCTGAGAGATCCCTACCAATCCCAGAGCGGGTTCTGGATTCTTCAGCAGAGCTGTGCCGGGGGGGCCAGGGGGAACCGTCGAGGCCAGCTCCTCAGGGGTGTGAATTCATGGCAGCTCCTGGGGACTAAACTCTTTCCTGTTGACGTCCGGTTTCCTCCCAAGCTGTCCCCCGCACCCACCCCCCGCGCAAGGCTCCTGCGGCCAATCCTTCCTCTTCTTTCAGCTTCCTCCCAGCCGGGCAGGACGTCCGTGGCCCCGGTCTGTCCGGCTCCCCCTTGGTCGCTGCCATGGCTGCCTGCCACTCTCTCACCACCATTGGAGGGCGCCTCTCGGGGGACCCCCTCGATCTCAAGATGTTTGAGGCCACCGGATGGGTAAGGCACTGGGGACAGACAAAGGGGGGGGGCAGGGGGGCAGGGTTCGTAAGGACCCGTTTCTCATGCAAGCAGAAGCCAGGAGAGAGTCTTCTCTGGCCGACCGCTTGTGTCCCCAGGATGTCTTGGACCATCTTGAGAATGCCGTTCCTCTGGTCTCACTGTCTCCTGGTGCCCTCTGGGGATTTTAATATCCCGCTGCAGGTTGCCACTCTGTCCTGATGATTTGTCTGTTTATTTATTCAATCTATACCCCACCCTCCCCGCCAAGGCAGGCTCAGGGCGACGTACGTGGAAAATAAAACCCATAAATAACAATTGTAACAATCATAAAACCAGCTAAAACTATTTGATAGACAAAACAGTTCAATATCATACATATCATAAAGAAGAGGAGGAGATTGGATTTATACCCTGCCCTTCACTACCCAGAGGAGTCTCAGATCAGAGCGGCTCACAAACTCCCCTCCCCCCCCCTCCCCACAACAGACACCCTGTGAGGTGGGTGGGGCTGAGAGAGCTCTTGACAGAAACGGCTCTTTTTCAAGGACAGCTCTTATCACAACTATGGCTTGCCCAAGGTCATCGAGCAGGTGCAAGTGGAGGAGTGGGGAATCAAACCCAGTTCTCCCAGATTAGAGTCCGTGTAGTTAACCACTACACCAAACTGGCTCTCGGTGCTAGCAAATCTCTACTAAATTTATTGCTTCAGGTGGCGGTGTTTTGATGTCTGTCTTATCTAAATCTATGCGGCGAGCAGAGGCTGTGGGTGGCAGAAACCAGGGAACAGGACTCTGTGCCTGTGTGTGCCACTGGCTTGGGGCACCAGACGCCCCATTGGGAACCAGGAGCCTTTGGGACAGGTGGCTGGCCGTCTTGGAGGGAGACCACCCCATGCCGCATTCTAGCCACGTCCCCGGCTTGATCTGCTCCTCCCTGAACAGGTGTTGGAAGAGCCCACCCAGGAAGAGACGGCTCTGCATGACCAAATCCAGCCCACCGTCGTGCATCCTCCTGACCAGGTCCCTCCTGAGATCCCAGAGGGAGCGTCTGAGGACGAGGTGAGAGAAAGATCTGGGACCGGGGAGCTCTGGTCCTCCCGTCTTCCCTTCGGAGGCCTGGAGGCCAGTTCCTGCCTGCTGCTCCTCTGTTGAAGCATTGGGAGAGCCCGGCTGCATCGAACCAGTGAGGGTCCCTCTTAAAATTCGGAATTCACTGTCAGAGGACATAGTGATGGCCACAGGCGGAGACCGCTTTAAAGGAGGATTAGATAGGTTCATGGAGGACAGGTCTGTCAGTGTCTGCTATCCTTGGTGACTAAAGGGAACCTCCACGTTCAGAGGCAGTGCACCTCTGAATGCCAGTGCCAGGAGGTAACATCGGGGGAAGGCCTCGGCCCCAGAGGGGAACTGCTGTGAGACGGGATGGTGGACTAGATGGACCCTCACTGGTCTGATCTAACAGGGCTCTTCTGATGTTGTCACGTTCTTAACATTAGCGGAAGGCCTCTCTGCCCTGTTGTCGTCCCACCAGAGGAACTGGTGGGATACTGTGGGAGACAGGATGCTGGACTAGACGGACCGTTGGTCTGATCCAGCCGGGCTCTTCTGAGGTTCATGTGGTCCAGCATCCTCTTTCACACTGCAGGCAACTAATTGCCGGGGGAAGGGGGGACGGGACACAATGATGAACAAGGCTTAGAGGCCAAGACCCGGTTCTGCCTCCAAGCCCTGGGACACGTAGATTTTCCTTCAGCAAGAAGAGTCAGCATGGCTGATACCAGGGGTGATGAGGGCTGAGAGGCACGACAAAGGCTCTGACTTCTCTCTCTCTCTCTTCTCTCTCTCTCTCCCCCCCTCCCCCCCCAGGAGCTCATGGAGTTGATGGTAAGTGGAGCAAGTCGTGCCGCCCCCCCAGCCGCCGCCTCTTTCCCACCCTGCGGAAACCTCAGGCGGCCTGACCCAGCCTCTCCATCCCTCCGCAGAAACTCTACCAGATCGGCATCCTGGTGCAGTTCCCCTTCTCCTCGAGCCTGCAGCGCATGACGGTCGTGACGCGCACCCTGGGGGAGAAGAGACTGGTCGCCTACATGAAGGGGGCGCCGGAGACGGTGGGCGGGCTCTGCCGCAAGGAGACAGGTGAGGAGCCGGTGGGGATGGGCCTGGGCTGCAGGGTTCGGGGGCCTTGGGACTACAACTCCCAGCAGGCACTGCAAGGAAGGCAGTTGACAGTCTTAGGGGAGTATGGCCTGCTCGGGTGCCAGAGTGGAAACAAGAGGCCCTCGCACCCGCAGCTAGGGTGTGGAATTATTGTGCCCTGGACATTGCCTGCCGCGACAGGAAATAAAAGCGCTCCGTGAAAGGTTGTGCCTGCGTTTTGCCCCGTTCCCCGTCTGCCTTTTCATCCCGATGGGCTACCGGGGTTTAACGGAGGCCCGTTAACTCTTCATTCTGATCCCGTGGAGAAAAGGGTTCCGGTGGTGCTTCTGTCCTGAAAGGGTGTGTTTGGGGGAGGTGTCTGTTCTGGTACAGAGCGAAGGGAGCCAACTCTGCTCCTCTTGATCAGGTGGCGGGGGGGGGGGGAGCTGTTATCTCCCTGGGAGCCGCCCGGCTGCTTTATTGAGTGGGAAGGGACTCTGGAAGACTCTTTGCCCGGCCTTTGCGGGAGTGCCCACCTGCACCAGGGGAGGCAGGTGAAGCATGCCTCAGAGGCTGGCGAGATGCTTGCGCGTAACTCCGGTTGGAAGGTGGCCCCGGTGTGAGGGAAAGGGGGGCAGGAACAGCCCGGGGGGGGGCACGGCTGCTCTCTGAGGGGGAGGGGGACACGCAGGCTGGGGAGGCCAGCCCTCCCTGGGTTTTCTGGGACACGACCTCCGTCCTAAACGGCTGCTGCTGCTCAGTTCCAGGCGATTTCTCTGCCGTGCTGGAGTCGTACACCCGCCGGGGGCTGCGGGTCATTGCCCTGGCGTGCCGGCGGCTGGAGAACAAGTACACGTGGCACAAGGTCCAGCACGCGAGCAGGCAAGTCCTTCTGCCTTGGCTTCTCCCCTCCCCCTCCCCTCCCCCCCCCAGGTATCTCTGACCTCCCTTTCCCCGCAGAGATGTCATCCCCTCCCCCTCCCCTCCCCCCGGTATCTCTGACCTCCCTTTCCCCGCAGAGATGTCATCGAGTGCAACATGGAGTTCTTGGGGCTTGTCCTGCTGCAGAACAAGCTGAAGGCGGAGACGGTGCCCGTGCTGGAGGAGCTGCGCAGGGCGTGCCTTCGCCTGGTCATGGTGACAGGTGGGCTGGGCGGGGGGCTAACCTGAAGCTTTCCTGGAGAGAGGCGGGCAGCCCGGCAAAGGAAGGGCTCTGTCCAGCAGTCAGCGGTCCTCTTCTCCCCTCCTGTCTGTGGCCCAGGAGACAACCTGCTGACTGCCGTCTCCGTGGGCCGGGAGTGCGGCATCATCCCAGCCAAGGGGAAGGTGATTCTGACCGAAGCCCTGCCCCCCAGGGACGGGCAGCCCGCCACCATCCACTGGCAGTATGCAGACGAGCTGCCTGCGGCCGGAGTCCTCGCCAAGCCAGGCAAGGAGGTGAGGGTGACCTTCCCCGAAGGAGGGGCGGATGGGGCAAGCCCCCCCCCCTTCCCCGGGGTCCGTTCTCCATCCCGCCTCTGCCTTCCAGGAGATCAAACTCATGTTGGACGAGGAAGAACCGCCCCCCGGGCCCCAGCCAAACATCGCCGACACCAGTTACCATTTTGCAATCGGTGGGAAGTCCTTTGCCGTCATCTTGGATCACTTCCCTGATCTGCTCTCAAAGGTGAGCATCACGCCGGAAGCGGCCTGACACTGAATCGGCCCATCAGGGTCCGTGTCGTCCACTCAGACTGGCAGCAGCTCTCTCTTTGGGGTCTCAGGCAGAGGAAGGTCTTCCACATCACCTCCTGCCTGGTCCTCTTAACCGGTGATGTCAGGGATTGAACCTATGACTCTTCTGCATGCCAAGCAGATGCTCTCCCACTGAGCTATAGCCCACTTCATGGCTCTCCAGGTTCTCAGGCAGAGATCTCTCCCATCCCCTCCTGCCTGGTCCTTTTAACTGGAGATGCCAGGGATCGAACCTGGGACCTTCTGCATGCCAAGCAGAGCTGCTCTACCACTGAGCTGCAGCCCCATTTCATGGCTCTCCAGGGTCTCAGGCAGAGTCACATCGCCTACTTTCTGTTCCTTTTAACCGGAGATGCCAGGGATCGAACCTGGGACCCTTCTGCATGCCAAGCAGAGCTGCTCTACCACTGAGCTGCAGCCCCATTTCATGGCTCTCCAGGGTCTCAGGCAGAGTCACATCGCCTACTTTCTGTTCCTTTTAACCGGAGATGCCATGGATCAAACCTGTGACCCTTCTGCATGCCAAGAAGATGCTCAGCCACTAAGCCGTGGCCCCTCTCCTCATTGTTGGATTGGAGCCCCTGAAGGGTGTTTTAGGAGCCCGAAGTCCTGTGGGTCGGAAGGCAGGGAGCACGGGGGGGGGTTCAGCATTGGGCTTCCGGAGCTGCAGCTCCTTTGCCTGTCTTAGGGGCGGGGCAGGGAATGCTGAAGGTAAGAATGTGGCTGATGCCTCCTGTTGGAACTCTGCTGCCCCCTGGAGGCCACAGCCTGCCCCTCTCTTTCCCCGTCAGCTGCTGCTCTGTGGCACCGTGTATGCCCGCATGGCCCCCGACCAGAAGACGCAGCTCGTCGAGGCCCTCCAGCAGATGGAGTAAGTGTGCCGAGGCCGCTCCGGCGTGGGCTAGCGGGCTGGCCGGGTCCCTCTCGCCTATAACTCCACTTCTGTCTTCCAGCTACTATGTGGGCATGTGTGGGGATGGAGCCAATGACTGTGGGGTAAGTTGGTCTCGGCCGGGGTTACCACAACACCCCCCCGCACAAGCGGGGGTGGCGGGGCGGGGAGAGAAAGACGGAGCTTGGCCGCTTAAACGGCCCGCGGAGATTGGCTCATCTGTGAAGTCCAAAGTGTGCTTGCTTTGCGGACGGGGAAGTTCCCTCTAAGCTTGACCTGTGCCGACCATGCAGGGGTGCAGAGAGGCACTGAATCGTGCGTGAGAGAGAGAGGAGCAAAGGATTCTGGGAGCAAAGGATTCTGGCACCTTCGGATAGAGACCCAAGGCTGCCCTTTGGCCAGAGGAACAGCCGCGGCTCTTTTCCCACCAGGCTCTGAAACGGGCTCATGTCGGCATCTCCCTCTCTGAGCTGGAGGCCTCCGTGGCGTCTCCCTTCACCTCCAAGACACCGAACATCTCCTGCGTCCCAGACCTCATCCGGTAGGGACCTGGGCGTGCCGTGCGGCGTGATCCCCCAGCCCTGGAGCTCTGGGACATCTGCACGTTGGGGCATCTCAGGCCTGGGGAAACCCCCTGCCTGGATTCGAACCCCCGGCACCCATTCCCACGGTGCACGTTCTCTTTTCCCAGGGAAGGCCGCGCGGCCCTGGTGACCTCCTTCTGTGTCTTCAAGTTCATGGCCCTGTACAGCATCATCCAGTACCTCAGCGTCCTGCTGCTCTACTCCGTGAGCATCGGGGCTGGTCAGTCGGTGGGTGGGTGGGTGGAGGACTCGGCGGGGCCTCTGGGCGTGGGCGGCTGGGGAAGTGGGTCGGGGGAGGAGCCGCCGCGCTGATGGGGCCATGGGCCTCCTCTCTCCCTGGCCAGATTCTCAGCAACCTGGGAGACGTGCAGTACCTCTTCATCGACGTGGCCATCATCCTGTCTCTGGCTTTCACCAGTGAGTCGACTGCATTGCATGGCCGTGTGCAGGGGCGAGGGGGCGTTCCCGCTGGCGAGGTCGAGGGAGGCTGTGTGTGCTGCAGGGGAGGGATGATAGAGAGCAGGGAGCCTTTGGAGCTGCAGGAGCTCAGTGGGGTTGGCAGCGCGCAGCCCTTGGAAGGGGAGCTGGCCTCAGGCACAGGCTTCCTAGTTGGGCAGCAATGACCCCCTCTAAGCCACGGAGTCTTGTGAGCAGAAATTCTCCTTTGTGGGCTGCTGGCATTAAATGTGGTGAGCGAGCGGTTGGACTGCTGCATAAATCAGTCTGCTCTGGAGCCCCATCCTTCCTGAGCCGGGACAAAGATGTGCAAGCCAGAGGCTGAAAGACTGTGAGCTGGCTCACACTCGCTCAGCTGAGAGGGAACAGGGGTCGGCAGCGGCTGGAGTCCAGCCCCCCGGGGGCAGGGGCTGCCCGCGCCCTCCCCGCCCACCGCCCCCTTCCTTGTCTCCCCAGTGAGCCTGAACGGGGCCTGGCCTGAACTGGTCCCCCAGCGGCCGCCCACGGGCCTGGCGTCTCCCCAGCTCCTGCTCTCTGTGCTCACCCAGATCCTGCTCTCGCTGGGCTTCCAGGTGGGGTCCTTCCTCCTCGTCCAAGGGCAGCCCTGGTACCGCCACAAGGAGGACGAGTAAGTGCGGGAGCGAGGGGCAGCCTCGGCGGGCTCCGTGGTCGCTAGGGGAGGAGGGGGGGGCTCGTCGGCCCTGACCGTTGGGCTTCCCTCCTGCAGGCACTGCGGCCTCCTGGCCAACCTCACGCTGGATGCCAACAGCACGTCCCCGGGGAACGCCACGGCAGGGCCGGAGCCCGAGGAGGAGGCCGACGACGACGCCTCCGTGCGCAGCTTTGAAAACACCACCCTCTTCTACGTCTCCTGCTTCCAGTACGTGGTGGTCGCGCTGGCCTTCGCCAAGGGGCGGCCTTTCCGACAGCCCACTCATGCCAATGGTGAGTGCCCCTCCGGCTCCTCTGGCTGGCTGGCTGGCTGGTTGGCAGGCCAGCTGCCCGTCCTCTGGAATTCCAGGCGCGTCTCCCCCTGGCCGCTTCTCCGCACACGCGTGTCACTTCAGCTCTGCAGAGTGCGGACGGCAGATGGGCCACGTGGGAAGAAGAGGGTAGAAATGAGTAAATGGGGAGCGGAGTTGCCAAGCGACCACTGGCGGGCCTGTGGGCTGTTTGCGGAGAGTTCAGTGGACACAACTCCTCTCACTCCACTTGCAAAGCCACCCAGCACGGAGCCATAAGAATGTGAGAGCCCTGCTGGATCAGACCAGGAAGGGTCCCTCTAGTCCAGCCTCCTGTCCCACACAGCGTTCAAGTAGTTCCTCTGGGAAGGGTCCCTCTAGTCCAGCCTCCAGTCCCACACAGCGTTCAAGTAGTTCCTCTGGGGGGGCCAACAGCAGGGCAGAGAGGCCGAGGCCTTCCCCAGAGAAGAACACCAGAAGAGCCCTGCTGGGTCAGACCATGGAGGGGTCCCTCCAGTCCAGCCTCCCGTCTCACGCAGCGGCCAGCCAGTTCCTCAGGTGGGTCAACAACAGGGCACGGAGGCCGAGGCCTTCCCCTTATGTTGCCTTCTGGCACTGGGATTCAGAGGTTGACTGCATCTGGATGTGGAGGTTCCCCTCAGTTGCCATGGCTGATAGCCACTGGCAGACCTCTCCTCCATGACTCTGTCAAACCCCCTTTTAAAGCCCCTGTGGCCATCCCCACATTCTCTGGCAGCGAATTCCACCTCGGATTGGCAGCTGCTCCCCAGACGCTCCTTCCCCATCTCCTGCCGCCCGAGGTCCACCAGCAGGCCTGCAGCTGCCCGCAAGGCTGTCACTGTGAGAGGGCCCTTCCGGGGCTCCCTCAACCCCCCTCCCTTCTCCTGGCAGGTCTCTTTCTTGCTTCCCTGGTGACCGTTTCCAGCTTCTTGCTGCTGCTGCTGCTGTGGCCGATCCCCGCCCTGGACGAGTTCTTGGAGGTATGGTGCCTGGCCCTGGCCTTCCTTCCTTCCTTCCTTCCTTCCTTCCTTCCTTCCTTCCTTCCGCTGGCCTGCCTGCCTGCCTGCAGGCGGTGAGAGAGGGGCCCTGGCCAAGCAGGGACGTCCAAGGGCCTCCATGTGGCCAGCCAGAGCGGGACAGCTGATGACAAACCCCTCCCTTGCTGCTGCAGAGAAGCAGGCCCCAGTTGCCGCCTGGAGCTTATCTCCACATATGGGGGGTGGGAGGTGGAGACTCTTTGTCGCATCCTTCTGGGGACTGCATGGGTTGCAGGCAGCAGTTGCGGTCTGGATTCTGGGGTACAGGGAGCTGCCTTCAGTGGAGCCCCCCCCCCCAAGTGCG